TCAATCTCCTAAATTTAGCATAACGAATACAAATTAATTAGTAATATTAAAAGTCCACAAATCCCACCCTCACCTTAGAAATAACGTCCAAAAACTAAGTTTGTAAGAAAAATGGTTGAAACGCTACTCCTGGCGGTCTGAAACTCCAAAAATAGCGATCCAATATGTATCTGCGTTTTAGAGCAAATTAGGGTTTTTGGGTTTTGACAGACTAAACATTACTTGACCAGAAAGCAACACCAATAACTCACTGATTTTATACCGGATCTGGAAACCGAGACTTGATATGGAATCTTTGCAACAACACCTTTCCAGAGACACCAAAACCGGGATCAGAAACTCTCTGAATCGACGGGAAATCTCCTCCAAAAACCGCTCCTCGAAACTGGAAAACAGATAATTCTGAAACAGCTTTTCTTATGCAGAAACAGCAACGCAGGGACAACTTCAAATACAATTTGCAAACTCGTCTTACCTCGGAATCTGGATCTGAAAGATGCTGTGGAAACCTTGAATCGAGATCTATCCAGACGTATGAAGAACGTCATCTGAAACGTTACGGTTCGTTCGGAAATCGTCCCGAAAAGTCACTGCTCGGCCTTCCTTTACTCCTCCTTTCCCTGGTCTTCCCGGTCACCGGAGCTCACGACTGACACACTCAACAGCGACAGTGGCTAGGTCACGAGTGAAAAAGGGCAGAGCTTTGCTGGAAGGATGATCTCTACTCCTTCCTCTCTTTGGCGTCTCCATTATATAGAGGAAGAGTGTGGAGAGAGTTAGAGTTTTTATGAGATATATGGGCCACACGAAATGGGCCATCATAGGGTTTGAGGGTCTATTTGGGCTAGGGCCATGACATGCACCTCTTTACCATAGAGGCGATCAATGTTGATTCTGGCGTCGACAATAGTTTCTTCTGATTCCTCTTTCCTTTGTTCTAAGTATCTATTTTCTCTTTACTTCTACTTCTTTGAGATTCAATTTGGGAGACGCAAGGGAAAAAATATGTGCTACACAATTCCTTGTGTCTCTCCCTTTTGCTATTTTCTCTTTCTTTGTCTCTCCCAAAGTGCTCTTGTGTCGATTGAACCGTAGATCTTCTCCAAAGAAGATGTTTTTTACGTTCGATCATTGGTGGTGTTTGCTTGCAATAATCGACTATCTCTTTCCGGTAAATGTTGCTTTCGTCCTCTGTTAGAGATAGTTTCAAACGGATGTGGTATTACAATTATTATCTTTAGAACAGATTTTCATGTTTTTATTTCGAAAATACCAAACAACTATGGAGATGGGGATGAAATCGTGGGTCTGTTGTACACAAAGACTCGATTATCAATGATACAACAAGAATAATTAGGATTAAAACTGTTGGAAAACCAAGTTACAACTTCTCGACATGACACTGATACATAAGTTTTGCTATTAGAAAGTTAAAAATTCAGAACTATCATCGATAGCAATAAGCTTTGTAACGCGGTGTGCAAATTGAAGTTTTAAAAAAAAAAAAAAAACAGCCGAGCACAGCTTTCGCATAAGAAGATCCATATTAAATAAGGGAAATGACAGATTTGATAATCTGTTAATCTGTTAGCAAATTGACTTTATTTAGGAAAGCATTATTAAATTCACTTTTTTACTTCTTGTTTTCAGTATATGGCACATATTTTTGTTTATGTAGTAATTTGATTTCGAAATTTCTGTAATAATTTTGTATTCTCTTTTGGTATCATTGAATGAAGTTAAGGCGGGAAAATAAATTTAATTCGGGATTTAAAAAATTTAGTGTTTTACCGAAGTTTTACTCAAATTAGGGAGTACCCGCACGTAGTGAGGGTTTATATATTTTACTATTTTTAAAACTATTTTTACAATACTGGTTTATATATTCTGGTTTATATTAAGTATAACTGAATGCTCTAATTGTGTAAAATATAATATATAATTTATAGTTGCAAAAGAAATCCAGTTATTTTGGTGCATTTGAAAACCCAAACAGTTTGCAGTTCTTTGATTCAAGTTTTCTATGATATTTTTTCTTGTTATTTTATAAGCTTTTAACTTTGAAGCGGTAAAAGTTTAGAAAACATATTGTTTACTGGTAAAAGTATAAGATATGACATAATTTCTCTATTAAAATATTATATGCATTTCTCACGTTAATATTCTTGGATAGCTTAATTTACGTATTGTCATAGTCTAACATTAGTATACAAGGCTTGCTTCTGAAACATCGTGGAAGTTGCTTCTTCCTCTTAAACCAGTGGGYTATGACAAAAATGGCTTCTTATTTCACCTGCATTATGAGCTACAAGTTTATATAAATGTTAAACCCGATGGGATACACTGCAATATCTTTTAAACCCGTTGCTACCTCCATGATTCTTCTTCAACTTTACATGTACCTCAAAATGTAGCTGAAATAAATTTTTTGACTTCGAAAGCATAAGAATGGAAAATTATTCATTATGTTGTAGATAAAGAGAGTGCAAATGAAGGTTTTCTCATTATTTGGCTTTATGATCTGAGATTCACCCACCCATTTCTGACACTCACATCATTTACATTAAAAAATAATTGTTAATACACATTAGAGGCCAAACCCATAAAAGGGGGAAGATACATTTCACGTATTATTCCAAACATATCATGTATTCTCATCTTTGGTACAAGTTACACATCGACGGGATGGAGAACTAAGACTGACTGGTTCTCAGGACATACCATCGTTCATTTCTTGTAGATCATAAGGTAAAGGTAAAGGTCAATAGCAATTATTAACATACCAAAACATATAGACATTCCACAAGAAAACCAAAAACAAAAAGACTTTACTAAAGTTGGTTAGACGTCGTCTAGTTCTCCTTCCTTTGAATTGCAACAACAAATTTCTCTGGATTTACTACAACTCACAAGATGCTTACCATTCAGAGATCACAACTGTGGGAACCCATTTCTTGTGCCCTGAAAAGATTAGAGGATAACTATTAGTAGGAATCTACCAAGGAAAGTGTTAGGGAGCAAGTCCCAGTGTTGTACCAGTACAGGCGCAAGAGAAACAAGAAGCTTGGAAGACAAGGGAAGCTGATCCAAGACAATGATGACTCAATTCAAGCAACCAAGTGTGAGATCACGTCAGAGAAGAAGACAAAGGAGTGAAAGCAACCAAGTGTGAGATCGACTATAAAGTAGGGGTGATGCATATCCTTGGAGGCAGCTTGTAATTTTGGTCTTTTGTGAGTGAGAGAGAGGAGAGAAGGGCTCCTAAACATTCCTACTGTATGTTACCTTTTTTGGTGTGTTCTTGGAGTTTTATGCAGAAAAAGTCTATCTTTATTGTTCCTGAGAGTTTTTGTCTAAGATTACAAGCATTTACCTAACAAATTGGTATCAGATTCACTTCGATCCTCCAGTGACATGGCTAAAGATTTACCTACTCTGTTGTCTCCGATTACAGAGGTTTCTGCCTCACAGGAGGTTTCTCGGCCGGTCTCTGATGTCGACAGCCCTACCGCATCGGTGCTGTTTCGGCTGCTGTAAGTCATGGACCAGATGAACCAGAAGTTGGATGCTGTGYRCTCCTTGTCCGAACATATCGGCTCGTCCCGCAGRGCCTCGGTATCGGACCGTCGTCCTGACAAAGCCCCGATGTTCACACCACCGGGGCCACCCCCTCCGCCGCCACTGCCTTTTCCACCGACCAGACCCCATACGCAGCTGTTTCCCCCACAACCGCACGACGCTGGTCCTGCCTTCGACTTTCCTCTGCCACAACGACAACAGCCGATTCGCCGATTGGAGCTTCCGGTCTTCGACGGTTCTGATGTCGAAGACTGGATCGATCGAATCGAGCAGTTTTTCGTCGTTGGGGCTTATACAGAGTAGCAGAAAATGTTAGAGGTTCGTTGTTGCTTCTCCGGCCGCGCCCTCAAATGGTACCTTTGGCAGAAAGATTTTGACCCATTCCGCAGCTGGGCTCATCTCAAACGCCGTCAGCTGACCTAATTTGTGTCTGCCTCTCAAATTCCGGCGGGTGAACGACTGCTCACTCTTGGCCAAACTGGCTCTGTCGATGAATATTGCGACGAGTTCATCTGCTTGGCTTGGAATGCTCCTAATCGACAGGTCGAGATGCTTGAGTTAGCCTTCATGGCTGGTCTCAAACCCTCGATTCGTGCTAAAGTTGACACCTTTGAACCTCCAAACCTTCAAAGGATGATGTTTTACTCCCGAAAGTCAGAGGTTTGGGAGCTCTCGGCGACAGCATCACCGACCTATCCTTCGGGTACACAGCCCAAATTCACCGGCCTGACCCAACACCGCTCCTACGAGATTTCTCGCGTCGTGGGCCAACAATCCAGTAGTGGGTCTCTGATCTCTCAGCCCAGTTCGACACACCAGGCCTCGACTCGCCCT